ATGTGCACATACACAGTTACACATCTGCACACATGCATGCACACATACTCCTGTATACACGTATGTACATATAATCCTATACACACATGTGCACATACACAGAGGGAATGCTCCTTCTGCTTCCAGCATTTACTTAAGCCTTCAAGGAATCGGGGCATTATAAGGAACAAAGACCTGAGATGTTTCTGAGGAAATATAGGCACGCCTGGCTGTGAAGCACGGCCAGTCTTTCTGTGAGGCCACATGCCATGGTGCCAGGTCCACAGGAAGGCTTGACAGTGTGGGAGGGAAGCTGATGAGGAAAGAAAGTGGGGTGTGAGAGGCTGGACCAGTGTCTCTCACTTCAGTGTGGCATCGAGAGGAGAGGATGGGGTTATCTAAGCAGAGGGAAAGGGCTGGGTGCTGCTGAAGGGACACCATGAAGCGAGCTGTGAGCCTGAGAGCCTGCAGGGGCACAGGTCTTACTTGGAGCTCTGCTGCTCCCTAGAGGCCGCTTGGTTATCAGCGTGCACTACTCAGTGGGGATTTTGGATTTGGGCTGGAATTTCTGTGGTTCTTATCCTGCACATTCTGATCATCTTCAGTAGCACTGAGAATGACTGTGGTTAAAGAAAACATCACAGTATTTATGGACTTGTTCACATGTTAAGGCTGTATGCACTAAAGGGACGTGAGCTGCAGAAGTCAGAAGATCCAGTATAGAATAAAAGCCTGCCATGCCTCTCACCAGGGAGACGTGGTACTGGGTCCCGTCTGTAAGCTCTGGATGCCGCAGCAGCCACCCCTTCCTCACATGTAGCTATTTTAAACCATAAGCTCTTACTTTGCTTTCAAAAATGACAGCTGACCAAAAACAGTCTCTGAAAATTCTTTATATTCCAGAAATTAAGATACTGTAGGTCTCCAAGGACACAAGGCTGCTTTGTTCCAAACTAGAGGAGGGGAGAGCCTTCACTCTTCGCTCTAGAGGACAGTAGGTTTGGCAAGAAGAGGCAATAGAGGGTCTCTCTGTAATGCATCCTGCCAGCCTGGTTCTGTGGTTACTAAGAACAGAGGCG